TTCCCAAGTTGGGGTGGGGAGGCCAGCCCTTTGTACCCCATATGGAGCCGGTAAGGGTTACAGGCAGGAAGGGGCTGCGATCTGGGGCAGGCAGGGCTCTGCAGCAGGGGAAACTCCCCATGAGGGCTGGAAGTAAATGGCCCCCCAGCAGCACTCCCAGCAGTTAAGGGAGTATGTCTTTCAGTCTGGAAAGGTCATCTGGGCAGCTGAGCTCAGCACTCAGCACTAGCACAATTACAAACTAATACAATGAGAGGTATATTCAACAAGTGCCCAAGCCTGATGGCTCAAGTACACACACTGGCCATACGTGTAACTATGCCCAGGAAGTAGCCCAGAAGGGAATACAGTGCACTATTACCTACAGAACTTTCTCCTCTCTGCATCCCAGCTATGAGGTTAGTCATCTGCACATTCTCAGCAAGGGAATCTTGCCATTGCCACCAACACAATCCATTAGAGCAGGAGCTAACAAGCCACAGCCTGAGGGCCAAATCCAGCCCACAGCTTGTCTTGGTAAATCAAGTTGTACTGGAACACAGCCATGACCATGGTCATTCCTACAGCAGTAGCAGCAAAAGCAAACAGCCCAAAAAGCCAAAAATACTTCCTATCTGGCCTTTACAGGAAAAGTTTACTGACCCTGCATTAAGGGTACTTCATTCCCTTCCCTTTCTTTAACCCACTAGTAGTATCAAAGGTTAGCTGAACTTTGAGCTAAGCTCCTAAATGCTAAGGCAAAAAAAAAGAAGAAAGAAAGAAAAGAAAGAAAAGAAAAGAAAAGAAAAGAAAAGAAAAGAAAAGAAAAGAAAGAAAAGAAAGAAAAGAAAGAAAAGAAAGAAAAGAAAGAAAAGAAAGAAAGAAAGAAAGAAAGAAAGACCTGGTACAAAAGAAAGTCGACATTAAGAAGGCAAAATGTAGGTTCTCTATTAGTTGAATAGAGCAATCAAGGAACCCTGTGTCTGGCCAAATTTAGTCTTAGAGCATTCTAGACAAGGAACCCCAAGTGGTCTTTCGCAGCAAATGAGCATGCAGAAAAGTGGAATTCAGTTCCAGTATTTAGCCCAGTCTCTGCTGCTTTTAAAAGGTCTTTTGAGAAGAGGATAGAAGAAAAGCCACTTAGTTTGCCCAAAGCTAAATTAACTAGGACACAAGACTACTTTTCAATTCTCCTTTGCAATAATTAAGAGTGACAATGCATTCAAAGCAACTAGTCATTTTAGTCTGTAATAGGCCCAAATCAGTAGCGAGCGGTTTATGTTACATGATATTAATGGGAACAGCAGAAAATAGTGCCACAGGTTATAATGTTTTAAAAAACAGAGAGGGTCTATGTTAGGGGGAAAGTGGGAGCTCTAAGCCAAACAACTGAAGTATTTCAAAAGCTACGTTTCACCTGTAAAAACAACACTGGAAAAAAAAAATCAGCTGTGCAAGTCCCTTCCAAAGGGACCTCTATGGGCCTTGCTGGACTGTCATATCTGTGATGGCTGCTGCCCTGGACTCATTATTGTTCATATAATTCTTAGAAAATCAGTCAAAGCAATATTAAAAAGTAATTTTTAAATGTTCAAACTATTTTTGTTTGCTTTACAACATGATTTTTTAAATGGTTGAAAATATTTTCGTTTCCCTTGTACCAATATGCATTCATGCATGTGCACACCAGAGAACAAAATGCCCAGTGCAGTGTGCCAGATCCCACACTGCACTGTCATGACAGGCTGGGCACGGTGGCTCCCACCTGTAATCCCAGCACCTTGGGAGGTCAGGGCAGGTGGATCACCCGAGGTCAGGAGTTTGAGACCAGCCTGGCCAACATGGTGAAAACCTGTCTCTACTAAAAACACAAAAAAATTAGGTGGGTGTGGTGGCAGGTGCCTATAATCCCAGCTACTCAGGAGGCTGAGGCAGGAGAATCGCTTGAACCCAGGAGGTGGAGGTTGCAGTGAGCCAAGATCGCACCATTGTACTCCAGCCTGGGCAACAAGAGCAAAACTCTATCTCCAAAAAAAAAAAAAAGAATCATGACAAGGCCAGGCACAGTGGCTCACACCCGGAATCCCAGCACTTTGGAAGGCTGAGGTGGGCAGAACACTTGAGGCCAGGAGTTTGAGACCAGCCTGGCTAACATGGTGAAACCCTGTCTCTACTAAAAATACAAAAACTGGCTGGGCCTGATGGCATGTACCAGTAGTCCCAGCTACTCAGGAGGCTGAGGCACGAAAATTGCTTGAACCTGGGAGGCAGAGGTGCAGTGAGCCGAGATTGCACCACTGCACTCCAGCACGGGCAACTGAGCGAGACCTTGCCTCAAAAAAAAATAAAATAAAATAAAAAGTCATGACAGCAACAAGTTAAAATCTGTCCTGAGTATAGACAGGGATTAATAATAAACTGGGATGGGCCTCCATCGTTCACATGGGAATGACGGTGCTCAGCCCCGTTACCGCCACGACATGGGTCTACAGTCTGCAAGGTACACACTCAGTGAGCCTTGGTGGCCTAGACGACAGGCTTCTGCCACATGGGAGATTTCAACACTGCCAAGTTCAATGGCCGAAAGACTGAAATTCTTCTAAATGGGAATTGATTATAAAACTCATTATTCACACCCAGAAAACGTTTTTCTCCTTCAAAGCTTAGGTCACCTAACCTAAACACTCATGAAAACAGGTTTTAAAAATAGTTCTACTTCATTCTTGAGTAAACAAAACACCCTATAACTGGCACCTGGTAGGTAACCAATGAATATCTGATTAGATAAAAACCAATAATTATTTTTAAACAACACCTACTTCCTCAATCTGCTTCTCCAAAGGCAGAAACTTGAAGCCAAGAGCATCAGCACATTCTTCTAGAACCCCAACACTGAGCAGTTCTGAGCACAACACACATCCATCAAGTGTCAGCCTCCAATACACCCTGATGATGGAAACACCTAGAAGCAAGCAAACAATAAACAAAATGCCTGCCCTGTTCCAAAAAAAGAACACACTACTGTGTCTTACTGTGTTCATAACAAAATGTAGAAGATGGGGAGAAGCCTTATTGGATCTAAAGGGTCACCTTCACCATTATAGTTAAATACAGCCAAATATCACAAGTACATTCCAACTATAACAAGCAGCATTACAAACGATGCTATGTAACTCGTTAAGTTTCTGCCATCTGGCAGGGAGCCCATGGAATGCCAGGCTCGCATTTCATCAATAGATGGTTACATACATTTATCACAATAAAAATGTTGAATAAGCAAGCACTCTCCACAAGCTCCCCTCATGTTCCTGCCATCCTTTAGATTTAAGAGTATAACATGGTACCGCCAAAGCTTAAAATGAGTTTTAGCAATACTAGATTAGGCTAATCTGAACGGAAGTATTTATATAGCATACGCAATTAAAATAGTATTAGCAGCGCCATAACTAATAACAGCAGACATTCCCATAGCACTCAGAGAGCGCAGTAAATATGCGCTTTACGTTGAAGGATACTACAAATGCAGATGCAATTAAGGATTCTTCCCTCCAACAAAAGGAATATATGCCACTTGCACTGCCCCTAGAAAGAAAGGAGAAAAGCAGGCCAGGTGTGGTGGCTCACGCCTGTAATCCCAGCACTTTGGGAGGCCGAGGTGGGCTGATCATCTGAGGTCGGGAGTTCGAGACCAGCCTGACCAACATGGAGAAACCCCATCTCTACTAGAAATACAAAATTAGCTGGGAGTGGTGGTGCATGCCTGTAATCCCAGCTACTTGGGAAGCTGAGGCAGGAGAATCGCTTGAACCCGGGAGGCAGAGGTTGCAGTGAGCTGAGATTGCACTACTGAACTCCGGCCTGGGCAACAAGAGCAAAACTCCATCTCAAAAAAAACAAAACAGAAAGAAATGAGAAAAGCTTGGTTAGCTAAGTCATATCTATTTCTCAGCTTCAATGTCCTTCACCCTTTCCCATCTTAGACATCTTTAAAAAAAAAAAAAAAAAACTATACAAACTCCCCAATAGTCGCACAAACACCGCAGGAGTGAAATCTGAGAGAAGGCTGGACCTGGCTAAGTTGTGGTGGCCATCTTCGTCCTCCCCTGGCCAATCCAAGCACCTCTCAGTTGATAACTCATCAGAGAGAAGCCAGGAACTTGTTTATTTCCATCTAGACAAGGACTGTTTCTGGTAAATCTCATGTTTTAACAGGATTCCAATTCAAGCGGGTGGTGGCATGGCATAGCATTTCATTATAAAGATGCCTTTCCCTGGTTCATTTTCTTTCTTCCAGTGAGCACATGAAACCAACTCGGGTGGTGTTTCCAGGTTTAACAGGCTCCTGGGAGATCTACCACAAATGTTTTGGTTCTTCTAACCCACTCATTTCTTGCAGAAGGCTCTTCAGAAGGCTGTTCCACTAGCTGGAAGGTTTTGACCAGAGCTCTCATCTCCTCTCTCCTGCCCTCCTCCATGCTGGGAAAGGACACAGGAATCACACACTGAGGACAAAAGGGTCCAGGAGTTGCAACTTCTCTTGTTCTTTCTCACCTAAGTCCTTCCGGGGAGGCTGTGTTCTCTTTGATGCAATGTGCCAGAATGTCAAAGCCTTAATACCAAATGATTTGGGAACTGGCCATCACCTGGGGGCCTCTCTGTCACTCACAGGAGCGTTTTGCCATTGTGGAGCCCTCTAAATCAGCCTTCTGGAAGCAGTTAATCTTTGCCCATCACTGTGCCCCTGCAGTTCCCAATGCACCGCCAGTACACGTTCAGGAAATGTGCCATGGAGCAGTCAAGAACCGTTTCAAGCCTGACCTGCTAGAATACAGAGACGGTATCAAGCGTCTCACCTATCCCAGAAAACCTGATGTTCCAGGACCTTGGTAAACAAAAAAACGAAATCAGAGTTCCAATGAGAAGTTTGCCTTTCAGCCCTGCATGGAGGGAAAGGCTAGAGAGGCGGGCTGCTAGCTCCTGTCTTAACCATTGGGAGAATTATTCTCCATAAGGTACAAAACAAATATCAAAAGGCTTATCTGTATCTTTTCCAAAAGCAACACTCAGACCCACATGACGTCAACCCCATCATGCCTGCCCAATCAGGGGCAGTTACAGTTTCTAGCTTTTGCCCTCGGCTACTTGGCCTGGGCCTCCTGCAGGAGAGGGGTTCTGAAGGTGGGGGGCCTTTCTGACCAGGCGGGCAGTTCGTGCTGCAGTGGAGTCCTCCGGGGGTAGAAAGTGTGGCTGACGTCATAGTTCAGGAGGCAGCTCAGAGACGCCATGTAGATGTCAGCGAAGCGTGACAGGCGCCTCAGGAAGTAGGTTGGGTTCTGGTCTGTGCGGAACAGGCTTCCAAACTGGGCGTTGAAGAAACTCTTGGTCATTTCTCTGAAGGGGCAATAAAAAAGCGAAGCAACACAGAATGATTCAAAAAGCCTTGTTTTTAAACTACTGAAATCAAAATCACTTCTTTTTCAGAAAAAAAAAAAGGACTCATTTGAGAAAAAAGCCTAGAGCAGCCCCAAATATTAATTAAGAAAACAGTCTAGAGCCAGGTGTGGTGGCTCACATCTATAATCCCAGCACTTGGCGAGGCCAAGGCAGGTGGATCACTTGAGGCCAGGAGTTCGAGACCAGCCTGGTCAACATGGTGAAACCCCATCTCTACTAAAAATATAAAAATTAGCCAGGCGTGGTGGCGCATACCTGTAGTTCCAGCTACTCAGGAGGCTGAGGCACAAGAATCGCTTGAACCAGGGAGGCAGAGGGTGCAGTAAGCAGAGATCATGCCACTGCATTCCAGCCTGGGCAACAGAACGAGACTCCGTCTCACAAAAACAAAAACAAACAACATTCTGGCCCGGGCATGGCAGGTGGATCACTTGTGCCCTGGACCACCAGCATGGGCAACATAGTGAGACCTTGTCTCTACAAAAATGCAAAAAATTTGGCCAGGCATGGTGGCATATGTCTGTAGTTCCAGCTACTCAGGAGGCTGAAGTCGGAGAACTGCTTGAGCCCGGGTGGTTGAGGCTGCAGTGAGCTATGACTGTGCCACTGCACTCCAGCCTGGGTGACAGAATGAGACCCTATCTAAAAATAAAAAAAGAAAACAGCCTGCCTATCCATCCATCAAAACGACTCTGGTCCTATTTCCCCCTTAACTGTCTCAAGGCTCCAGATGCTTTTGCACGTTTCTCTAAGGACACACGCCCCATCTCCCAAACTAAACACAGGATGCAACAGCTGCTCCCGATGGTACACAGAGGAATACAGAATGCTCTCAGGAGTCTCCACTTCCCTTACTGAAAGGATCAAGACCCCCCCTGTTTCACAAGCTTATTGTGAGAACTGAGTAAGGTAAGCAAAATAAAAGCATGTTGTAAACTCTCAAGTGCTCAGATGGAGGAATTAAGGATTGTTTTATGTGATGTAAATCTCCCCCATCCATTACGTACTTCAATGCCTTCCGGTCTCCTCAGAAGTGAGACTGTTCACCCCGTCCACGGCCCATAAGCCCCTGCAGTCATCCTTACGTGCATGTATGTCTATTTCAACATCCCTATCATACACACACAGGATATGCACTCTCTGATGGCTGGCACCCTACAGAGTACTCCATCAAAATGAACGAATACTATTTGACTGCTAATAAGTCATTTACAAACACAGCAAAAAAATAGAATCATTTATACAGCTGTGTGATAAAAGCCACTAGTTAGTTGGTAGCAGTTAAAATAAGACTCAGACAGTCAACATCCTGAGAGGGAGGAGGACAAACTAAATGCAATACAGCTTTGGCTTCTCCAGAATCTGAGGAATGGACTCACTGTCCCCTCTCCACGCCCCGTCCACCCACCCACGCACACCACCACATGAACCCCCGAGTCAGGCTGCCCACGGCTGGGAGGCCAGAATCCCACCACAACCACTGCTGCCAAACCTCAGAGATGGCTGTGCCCAGCGGCTGGAGAAGGCCATGCACAAAGTCAGGAAAGTTCATGCCAATGGCATAAAGCATTCTCCTAGGGAAGCATGATTGTCAGTATGGGTTCCCTTAAGACAGACACCCACCAAAGTTTTCTCATGGCAGGCAGGCTTTCTTTATCAGTTAACAGAATGCACATTCTTGAAAGAGCTGTGGTTACAAATAAGCACCAGGGTCGTGGGAGCCCTAAGAATTCACTGTGGGTTCGGAGCCCAAATCCAGCACTGCCCCAATAGCCACATTGTGCTGCCAGCATTGTTAACAACTGGGCCAGCAGCTGCCCAGATGGGAAGGTCAGGAAGGCAGGGAGGAGGAATGAGATGGAAAGGCTCCATTCTCCCAAGGCCTTCGATGGCAAGGGTGGAGGAATGACAGGGGTGATGGCTGGCCTCAAGGAAATGTTACATGTCACCAACAGCAGGTAGCCGATTCTGGATCCTGGGGGAGGCAGACATACCTGGGAGCTAAAAAAGGATGTTTCAACATTATGCCTCAGGCTGGCCCTGGGGAACAGACGTAGGCTGAGCACGGCCAGAACAGGGTGGTGGACATGCCACATTCAATACAGGCCGCTCTTACCTCATCTCCTTCCTTTCCTTTTTCCACTCCTGCAAAACCAGCTGTGACTCAGCATCTCTGTGAACCTGTAGGACGCAAGTCAATTATTACGACTGTTTTGGTTTCAAATAAACTCATTACGTAATGAGAATTTTTTAATGAGCAGCTTTTCTAGAAATTTTATTCCTTTACATCTCAGAGGTTGGCACCTGAATGAAATAATACATTTTTCAGACTTTCCAGTTGAAACCCTGCCTTCTTCAGGAATAAAAAATAGTTTTAAATGTCCAACATTAGAAATGTGGTTTAACAAATTAAGATGAACTATTATGAAGTTATATTAAACTATCAGTAAAGACTACATATAAACATAATGCATATGTATCCACATATGTATAAGACATGTACGTGATATATCCATTATGCACATGATATATCCATTACACACCTATTATATACAGGTATACAAACTATAATGTAGAAATACTTAGTACATGCTACCTATTATACTTATTATATACATGTGTACAAACATTATAGTTAAGTGGCATACATACCCACTAACTGTAAGCATGTCAAAGTATGTGCTTACATTTGGAAATTAACATAAAAAATTATTTTAATTTGTACACGAGAATTATAAATAAACTTTTAAATTTAATATTATATTGTTTAATTTAAAAAACAATTATTTTTTGCAAAAGGCGAGAAGGTAAAGCATCTCCATGAGAAGGAAAAGCAGAGCATTTTCTGGTGGGCCAAAATATGGGTGAAAGGCAAAAAGAAAATGCCAACTGCCCATGATCTAACGAATGGAATCTCACAAGTCTCTCTCCAAGGTTCTTATGGCTAAACAGAAACACTGAGGCCAGAATCCAAGGTGCACATGATCGCAGGGAACAGGCCGGCTCCCTGCAATTCATGACCACGGGGGTAACCTTAGAACCTGGAGGAAAATACCAAGCGGGCAAACCATCTGCTTTTGACATGGGAGCCAAGAACCTTACGTTTATCACATCTGCTCGGTTCAACAGCTCGACTCTGAACCCCGAGGCTGCTGAAGGGACATGTAAAGGAGAAAGACCCCAGGAATCGGAGGCCAGGGATGCGTGCCCAGAGGGGGACCCTGAGCTCTGCGCCTTCGCTCAGCCACGCTTTGGGCCTTACCTCCCCTGAAGTACCCAGCTGCTGGCTGGGGTGCCCTGCCGGCTGCCCTGCCATGAACCTTTCCCACCATTTATCATCTCTCTCAAGGAACAACCCTCTCGCTTCCATCCTTCCCATCAGCCATTAAACAAAAAAAGATTTCTCCCATTAAAAAAAAAAGATTTCTCCCTGTGCCCACCCCCTTCTCCAGTTCTGTCCCCCTACAAGGCCAAACTCCTTAAAACAAGAGCCTCTGGTTCTGAAATCCACTTTAAAATATTTCAAAGACGGTGTGTGCTCATTAGTTATCATTAATCTTTCAAGTGAAACCATGTACTCTAGAGTGGGTAGTCCACATTGGAAAAGACTAACCAAAGCCCCACAATACAGGCACTTCAGCCACCTCCATCTCCAGTGGTTATTCATGGGCGTAATCAGCTCTTCAGGGGCAAGGCAGATTGGCTACATATCTCTGCCCTTGTTTGAGAAAGATATTACAATCTAGCCAGTGCAACAGCCTACATCAGTCCAGCCACCGGCCCATTTTTCTATCAGCCTGTGAGCTTACAAATGGGTTTTTCTTTTTCAATGCTTGGGGGGAAAAAAACTCAAAAGAAGAATAATTTCATGACAGGCCGCGCGTGGTAGTTCAAGCCTGTAATCCCAGCATTTTGGGAGGCCGAGGCAAGTGGATCACTTGAGGCCAGGAGTTCGAGACCAGCCTGGCCAACATGATGAAACCCAGTCTCTTCAAAAATACAAAAATTAGCTGGGCGTGGTGGTGCACACCTATAATCCTAGCTACTCAGGAGGCTAGGCATGAGAATCACTTGAGCCTGGGAGGCAGAGGCTTCAGTGAGCCGAGATCGTGCCACTGCACTCTGGCCTGGGCAACAGAGTGAGACTGCCTCAAAAGGAAAAAAAAAAATTTCCTAACACGTAAAAATTACATGAAAGTCAAATTTCAGTGCCCACCAATAAAGTTTGTTGGGACACAGCTACAACCATTCATTCACATATTGTCCACAGCTGCTTTTGTGCTACAAGTGCAGAGGTGGGTAGCTGCAAAAGAGTCTACAGCCTCCACAGCCTAAAATATTTACCATGTGGCCCTTTGCAGAAGCTTGCTGACCTATGGTCTAAATGTGGCCTCTGACTGGTTGGTTACCTGAGCCTGCACAGCCTAAAATATTTACTATGTGGCCCTCTGACAAAGCTTGCCGACCCGTGGTCTAAATGTGGCCTCTGACTGGTTAGTTACCTGAGAAGCGTCTACCAAAGCCAGCACCACCACCATGAACCACAGCCATTTTGGAAGGCACTTCAAGGCTAGCTAATGAAATTACAATCAATATTTATATACTTCTATTTCATTCATTAGACTTGGCTCCAAATGACTCCTGTGAGGTCAGGAGTTCGAGACCAGCCTGGCCAACATGGAGAAACCCCATCTCTACTAAAAATACAAAAATTAGCTAGGCGTGGTGGCACAAGCCTGTAGTCCCAGCTATTTGGGAAGCTGAGAGAGGAGAATTGCTTGAACCTGGGAGGTGGAGGCTGCAGTGAGCCAAGATCACACCACTCCACTCCAGCCTGGGCGACAGAGCAAGACTCCATCTCAAAAAATCAAAAAACAAAAAACAAATGACACTCTGCTGGCTCTGAAAAAATCAAACCCGATCTCAGAGGACCAATTTTTCTCCTCAGAAAACTGTCCAAATAATGTACTACGTGCTCTGAAAATAATCCCCAAGGGGGAGTTCTAGAAACATCTGCCACAGGCTCAGTGGAAAAACCTGTAACTTTCTAGGGGAACACTGAGGAAGAGGGCGACAGTGAGACAGGACATTGATTTGGATGTTTTTTTAGTTAGCAGCTACACACCTCTATATCCTAGTGAATCCAACTTGACAGAACTCTGTACAAAGTGCCAGAACCCAAGGCAATATAGGTGCGTGGAGGTTAAGGGTCTAGAGTCGGGCTGCCTGTGTGTCAACATCAGCATCACCCGTCACTAGAGCAAGTTCTATCTCCTCTGTGCCTCAGGGTCTGCATCAGAAAAATGGGAGTGATGTTTCAGTCCTACTTCAAAGAGTTGCTGTGAAAATGAAATGAACTTAAAGGTTTCAGTGTCCAGAACACAGTAAGTTCTTACGACATTTTTACACAGCCTGATTCTGCCAACCGAGAACTGTGGTTCCAGAAAAGTGACCTATCTTGCAGTCTCAAGTTTTCTCTCCTGCAAAATGGGGGCGGCTATGTAAATCGTAATTTCCTTTTCTTCCTTCCCTCACCCCACACCTCGTATAATTAATTTTACAAACCACAGAAATATTTTCAGCACTTCCATTCTCTAAAACGCACATTCCTTAATAGTCAACTTTTTTTTACACAGGTCAGAAAAAGGAAAACAAAATAAACAAAAAAAACTGTTTCCAAAGCGAAAATGTACTGACACCATCTACGTGCAGTTGTGTTTGTGCGTGTGACCAGCTGCCAGGGTCCCAGAGACGGCACTGACGGGAGTCAAGCCTTACCTATACCCGAATCCTCCAAACAGGAAGGCACATGAAAGCAGTGCTCTGAAGCATGGACTTGGGGACCTGGTTCAAGCCTTGCCCTGCCATTTTATGATCTCACACATAAATGATACCTAACCTCTCAAAAACTGTTTCCTTATTCTAAAATGGAACAGCTATGACTATTAAATGAGCAATGTGTATAGAGCCAGCACTCAGCACAGTGTCTGGCACGTAAAAAGTAACTATTAGTAGTGTATGACATGCACAGACTCTCAACTACATTAACTCAGAATTGATGCCACGTATTTTTAGTAAATCATCGCACAGACAAGCATAGCAAGCGAAACAGAATAAATCCTCATCAGAGAAGAGCCAAGAACTAATGGGGCCCAATGCATCCTGGAAACGAGGCCCAGGGGGACGTGCAGGGCCCCATGCTCTGGAATGCATGCACCTGGAGCCAGAATGTGGCCTGCCACTCACAGCCTTGCCTGATCTCACTGCTCAGCCACTCCCACACAGAGTGCCAGCTGGGGCAGGCAAGGCAATTCCCTGCCCATTTCCAAAGCCAGAGGGCAGGCATGGGCAATAGACCGTGGCCACAGATTGCAGGTGTGATAGCCAAGAGAGCAAGCATCTGTGCCCGTATCCTAACAATGTCAGCACCCATGCTGAGACGGCTGTAGCCCAGGCAAGCTGGAGCCAGGGAGAAAACAAGGTGCCTCACGGAACTGGAAAGGAAAGGGGCACATGGAGAATTAAGGGGATACAGCTACAAAAGAGAGGCAGCTTCCATGGGCCAGGAAATGACTGATACAACTGCCATTCCTCACTTACCAGCCAAAACTGGCTGCCTAACTTAACTCAAGGAAGTAACTGCCAGGGAACTCCAGTAAGCCAGAAAATTGCAGGTATCATCCTCAGAATCAACTGAGGCTGGACTTTTGCTTGCTTTGACATCTTGACTCTTGCTTTGAGACTCTCTCCCGTAAGCCATGGTGCCTAGACTGAAGTGTTCACTTCATAGGCCCCTTTATTTCACAGACGGGGAAACTGAGGCCCAGAATGGAGAAGCCCCACTGTAGCAGGCGCAGACAGAACCAGCAGACTTAAGCACTGGCAAGGTCTCCTGAATCCCAGTACCCCACAGGAGAGCTCCTAGCAGGCTTCAGTGTGGAAGTGAGGATACTGGATCTTCACTGACAGAGGAATGTGAGCAAACACCTACATTTACACAGGCCCCACAAACACTGTCTAAGCAAAAGAACCCCAGTTGTTATTCTGCAGTCTACTGAAAACAACTTAAGCCTCGTATTTTATAACGATTAAGCAGAATATACCTGAAGTAACTTTCTAACCTCAAGCTTAAAGAAAAAGTGAGAGAGAAAAAAAATATATCCAAACCTGCATCTGTTCCAATAACCCAGTCAAGGTCTGCAGCCAGGTCATGGTTTGAATGTATTGCTCCGTGTTCATGATTTTCAGTTCAGATCGCAACTCTGGGATAATTGCACCAGTCCTCCAGCCATGCTTTAGGGTCAAATCCTGATCACAAAGATCACGAAAAGTCAACATCAAGTCTCAACAGAATCTACACTATGTCATTATTTTCCCAGACATGAGAGGCATTCATTTAATTAGTTTTTGATGGTAATGGTTAGTTATTCACCAAGCTGAATTCAATGAATTACATTTAATTAAAACAAATTTGGCCCCAGCCTTCGATTATTTCATTCCAAGAAACTTTCAGATCTGGAAATAATTGCTGTGAGTCACAACCCCTGCAGAAACGCTAGGTCTGGAATCATTAACCATGGTCTGTAAAAAAAAACAATGAGGTCAGGGGCAGAAAAGGGCTTGACCTAAATGCTACCAAAGGTCTTCATTCAATTCATCCACAGACCTCTGTGTGCCAGGCCCTCTGGGTTATGGAGAACCACGGAATCTCAGACTTGGAATGATCACATACAACATAAGCATGCATGACCACATTTTCCATTCCAAATGTTGTCACCCCATATTTGACAAAAGGCCAGAATATTTAGTATCAGCTATGTCCTGGAAAATCTAAGACATATAGTCATCATACTAAATGGTCATTTTCTCATTTGGCAAATATTTATCAAGCACTACTATTTGCCAGGCCCTAAATACTGAGGATAAAACAACGCACAAAAAACTGAGAAATCCCAGCCCTCGTGGAAAATACAGACAATAAATACGTAAAATACACAATGGCAGGTGGGGATAAGTACAAGGGACAAAAATCAAGCAGAATAACAGGAAAAGGAGAGGAAGAAAGGAGGTTTCCATTTTGTACAGGGTAGTTAGGAAGACCAGGCTAATACAACGATAAGGTCGGGGAAAGTATGAAAACATGTGGCAACAGAAAGATTCTGGCTGAAGAACAGCTAGTGCAAAGGCCCCAGGGTAGGAACATGCTGGAGGGTGGCATGTTAAGAAGCAATAAGTCAGGGAACCTAGATGAGACAAAAGAGGGGGCGGGGCAGAGGGTATCTTCAGAGAGGTGGGCTGGGGAAGGGGAAATCCAGTGGGCAACTATAGGAACTCAGGTTTTTACTCTGAGGGAGAAAGAAAGGCTTTCAGGTTTTAAAGCTTTAAGTCTGATTTACAGTTTTAAAGGTTCAGTCTGGCTACTCACCTAAAGCCAGAATCCTAAATCCTATGTAAGAGTCTAAGAGGGCTTAGGATGCCCGCTCACCTTCACTGGTTCATTTTTTTTTTTTTTTTTTTTTTTTTTTGAGACAGGGTCTCACTCTGTCCCCTAAGCTAGAGTGCAATGGCATGATCTCAGCTCACTGCAGTTTCCACCTCCCAGGTTCAAGCAATTCTCCTGCCTCAGCCTCCCCAGTAGCTAGGATTACAGGCGTGTGCTACCACACCCAGATTATTTTTGTATTTTTAGTAGAGACAGGGTTTCACAATGTTGCCCAGGCTGGTCTCAAACTCATGAGTTCAAGTAATCCACCCATCTCAGCCTCCCAAAGTGCTAGGACTACAGGTGTGAGCCACCGTGCCCAGCCCACTGGTTCAGTTTCTTGAAGCCTTTGAATATTTCTCTTTCTCCTAATAATACATGAAAACCTACAGCACATTTTTAAAATATTCCCAATGGTGGCAAACTTTCAAAGGTGGATTTTATTTATGTTTTTTGATGTTTTGATAAAAGGAAAAAGAACAATGGCATTTATTATTATTTAAATGGAAAGATTATTTTGATAAACTCTTTGAGTGAACTGTTTATTTCCATCATTTCCAAAAAATATTTATCTTTTTCACAACTCTGTTCTGTAAAAAAAAAAGAGACATTAAAAAGATGCAACCTACCTCTAGGTTTTACGAAAGCATAAAAATGACCTTAAATATAAGATACATTCTTAAATAAAAGGTACATTCTTAAATAAAAGATACATTCTTTAGTAAGTGAGGCTAACACATCTGTCCCCCAACAAAGGAAAAAAGGGCTCCTCACCGCCAGGTCACTGTATATATGGTCACCAAAATACAACACTCTGGATCCTCTCCATCCAGTAAGCTTCAAAAATTCATATAAATTACCCTGCAATCAAAGAAAACTATAGTTATTATATTACAGCTAGAGAGCTATCTAACCCACAGTACAAAATATTTTTTAAAACTTTTAAAAATTGTTTTTATAACTTATTTTAAATATCAAAATATAAAGATAAAAGCACCTTCACGGGAAATCTGTCCTCTATGTCAAATGCACTGTTCAAGAAGGATTTATATTATATACACCTCTTTGTAACTATCTTTCTACACTTAACATGCTGGGGCCATCTTTCCATGCCAATAAATAATCTACCATGTAATGATAGCAGCTGGGAAGTACCATGATTCCTTTCACCAATTCCCTGATGTTGGACAGTTTACATTATCTATTTTGTAAGCAACTTCATGATAAACATTCTCATAGGCAAGTTGTATTAGCTATATCTTAATAATTTTCTTAGGCTAACTTCCTAGCAGTAGAATGGCTTTATCAAAGCTAATTTTTCAAGGCCTAGAAAATATACTTATTGCCAAATCCATCAGATTGTTATATACCCACCAAGAATACATTAATTCTTTTAAAAAATGAATTTTAGTAACATAATAATGGTCACCAATGCAATTCATTCAAACATTTGAAAGCCTCATATGACACCAAAATATATTAAAACTGTGCACAGGCTAGGTGTGACGGCTCATGCCTATAATCCCAGCACTCTGGGAGGCCAAGGCGGGAGGACTGCTTGAGCCCAAGAGTTCAAGACCAGCTTGGGCAAAATGGCAAGACCCTGTCTCTACAAAAAATAAAAATTAAAAATTAGCTGGGTGTGGTGGTGCATGCCTATGATCCCAGCCACTTAGGAGGCTGAGATGGGAGGATCACTTGAGCTCAGAAAGTTGAGGCTATAGTGAACCGTGTTCATGCCACTGCACTCCAGCCTGGGCAACAGGGTGAGAACTTGTCTCAATAAAATTTTTTTAAAAAACCCACAAAATTGTGTACAAAACATGTATTGTCAGAAAATAATTAGTAATTTGAGTGCATAATATGCCATGAGTAAGTGTTCCTCAAAGAGAAATTTCCAAGGTTTACTACTGGCATCTTAAATGTTACACACTACGAAAGTCATGCCTTCAATTTTGTTTTAAAAAAACCATTCAATTTTGAGTTAGTTTAGATGCTAGCATATTGAAAATATATTGACTTAAACCTAAGTTTACCACCACCAAGTTATAATCAGTCAGTTCACGGGAATCACTCAGAACTGTGCCAGGCACACAGAAAGCCACAGTGAACATCAGCTATTAGCATTATTACCGACCACGAAGCAAAGCAACAAAAAGGAGAAGCTGGTCATGACATACCTGCTTGTAAATCTGGCCTTTCTGCAACTTATGGATTTTATCCCAAAGTAAGACACCTTTCTCATTCATCTTTCGGAAAGGCCTAACAACAGAAACAGGAAACATTATGACATGGAGTAGTACAGGTTGTCCGCTCTATGAAATACCAGAGTTATTCACTATCACAGGAAGTAGCTCCCTGCAAAAACCTAAAAAAAAACCCGAAATCAAAACTCCACCATCACATACCCTGGCCTAATTCAATACATCCCAAACTGTGTGAAGCCCAGTATCCAAAGGTGTTTCATGAAAAAAAGAATTCCTGGGGGCCAGGCGCAGTAGCCCACTCTTGTAAGCCCAGCACTTTGGGAAACCAAGGCAGGTGGATCACCTGAGGTCAGGAGTTCAAGATCAGCCTGGCCAACATGATGAAACCCTATCTCTACTAAAAATACAAAAATTAGCTGAGCAAGGTGGCAGGCACCTGTAATCCCAGCTACTCAACAGGCCGAGGCAGGAGAATCGCTTGAACCCAGGAGGCAGAGGTTGCAGTGAGTGGAGATTGCGCCACTGCACTTCAGCCTAGGCAACAAGAGAGAAACTCTATCTCAAAAACAAACAAAAACAAACAAAAAAAAGAATTCCTGGGTCATATAAATTTGGAAAACACCATGCACTAAATATGTCCCTCTTAAAAAGCTATTGATGGCTCTGAAAAGCCCTGCTATAATCAACTTCCTTTCACCCAGATTTCCCGGATTTATCTGACCATGCAGAAAACCTGTTTATAACGAAAAGTTTACGGAAACACTGCCTTAGTGCATTTATCTGGCTTCATACCTGAAATTAAGCCACTCTAGATAACAAACCAGAAGACCAGAAGCACTAGTTTATGATGGAAATTGGGAGGTAAGGATAATGCCTCATTCCTCACCCTGACACACTGCTAGCCCAAAGGACCCAGGGTTTGTTTGCCTTAAGGTAAAAATAAGTGTTACCCTAAAAAAAATAATTTTTTTACCTAATTGTAATACAGAAAAATACAACAAAGAAAAGGTACACGACCCAGAATTCTAGACCCACCTTGTACACTAAACATTTCAGTTCGTCTTTCAGTCTTTTCATGAAATTTATGTTTCTTTCATGACTATAAAATGAGATCACTTTGTGTACACTAACTGACATCCTTTTTTCTCTAATATTTCGAGCAATTTTCCAAGTGATTACATATTCTTAAATACATCATGTTTTACAGTAATACATCATCTTTTTTTTTTCCAAATACGTTTTCGTTTTTTTGGTTTTTTTTTTTTTTTTTGGAGAGAGGGTCTCACTCTGCTCCCCAGGATGAAGTGTGGTGGCACAATCGCGGCTCACTCTAGTCTCGACCTCCTGGGCTCAGGTGACACTCCCACCTCAGTCTCTCAAATAGCTGCCATAACTGGTTTATTTTATTTTATTTTTTTGAGAGAGTCTCACTCTGTCGCCCAGGCTGGAGTGCAGTGGTGCAATCTTGGCTCACTGCGATCTCCGCCTCCTGGGCTCAAACGATTCTCCTGCCTCAGTCTACTGAGTAGCTGGGATTACAGGTGCATGTCACCATAACTGGCTAATTTTTGTATTTTTAGTAGAGATGGGATTTCACCATGTTGAACTCCTGACCTCAGGTGATCCGCCCACCTCAGTCTCCCAATGTGCTGGGATTACAGGTGTGACCAGCTAATTTTTTAATTATTTGTAGAGACAAAGTCTCCCTATGTAACCCAGGGTGGTCTCAAACTCCTGGGCTCAAGCAATTCCCCGGCTTCAGCCTCCCAAAGTGCTGGAATTATAGGTGTGAGCCATGGCACCTGGCCCAAGTACACCTTTTTTTTTTGTTTTGAGACGGAGTCTCACTCTGTCGCCCAGGCTGGAGTGCAGTGGCGCCATCTCGGCTCACTGCAAGCTCCGCCTCCGGGTTCACGCCATTCTCCTACCTCAGACTCCTGAGTAGCTGGGACTACAGGTGCCCGCCACCACGCCTAATGTTTTGTATTTTTAGTAGAGAATGGGTTTCATCATGTTAGCCAGGATGGTCTCAATCCCCTGACCTTGTGATCCTCCCGCCTCGGCCTCCCAAAGTGTTGGGATCACAGGCATAAGCCACTGCACCCAGCCAAGTACATCGTCTTTAATGACTGCATAATCCCCTCTCATATGGCCATTCCAAATTTAACTAAGCATCCCCTACTGTAGGGCTGTTAGGTTGTTTCTGACCTCTCATTATTATAAATAACACAAGGATGAATACAGACGGAGGATTATTCGGCTCTTACCCTAGGCTTCGAGAACAAAGACAAAATAGATATTGGGGGAGGGGGCTGAGACACCCTGCCTGCTGCATCCAGGGAAAAGAGTTCAGGGCCCTGCCTCCTCACTTTTTATAAACACGGCAAAGCAGAGGAGCTCTCTGGTGAAGAGAGAGACAGGGCCCTTCTGACCACACCCCAGAATCTACTAAGAAAATGGTGAGGGCATCATATCAGTGACTATAGGGCCCCGACCTCCCCTCTTCTTCCTCTAGGAGAGGAGTGCCTTTGACCACTCTGACCCAGCTAGGTGCACGTTCTCCTCTGCGTGCTTCAACACTCCCAGACACTGAAAAAGGTTTTTATGTTGCTCCCCAAGACACTGGAAGAAACTAGCCCTGGCCTGGAGCCAAATTCCTTAAACCCTCAATAAACTCCACATCCTGACCCGCTCCTGGTGGAACATCCCTTTCTCTCCTGTCTGCCACAGCAGAGGTCTGCAAACCCGGGGCCGTGGACCACAGACCAAAACCGGCCCATGGGTTAGGAGCCAGGCCGCACAGCAGGAGGCGAGCATCCAGTGGGTGAGAGAGCATTAACGCCTGAGCTCCACCTCCTGGCTAATCAGGTGCGCCATTAGATTCTCATAGGAGCGGAACCCTATTGTGAGCTGCACAAGCAAGGGATCTAAGTCGTGCGCTCCTTATGAGAATCTAATGCCTGACGATCTCAGGTGGAACGGTTTCATCCTGAAACCATCACCCTACCCTACCCCCACAAACCTGGTGGAAAAACTGTCTTCCACAAAACCAGTCCCCGGTGCCAAAAAGGTTGGGGACCCTGTGCCAGAGGATGCACTGCAGCCCACTCTGTAAGTCGGTTCCTCTATTAAGTGCTTTAGACTGATCATCCTAGCGTTTAGTGCTTCTTTCTTTGGAATCCCAACCAGCCCCATCATGGGACGGTTTGCGGCTCTCCCATGCAGGAACTCCCTTGCCACTGTCTTTGGGATGACTCCAGCCGCTGGTAAGTGGGACAAAATACTAACAAAGCAGCAAGCTACCGTTTATAGCTGTTTTTTATCACACTCTAGTTTTTCCTTCATTTTCTTGAATCCCACCCAGCATTTTTCAGTCCCTGCACATGGTTCTTGGTTTGCCGCTTCTTCCTGGAGTCGCTGTGACACTTGGAAAACTGGGACAAGAGGAATTTAAAGCATTAACTGCAGGGTACCACACCCTGATGCTTCAAATCACCTAACAGAGAGGAAAAGACTACCTGCTTACCAGCTACAGAACATGGGGGTAAAAGTGTTTCAAAAATTGCCCATTATTATATAAATACGAGTTATTTTTTTACAACCCCAGTGCAGTGTGATTCTCAACACCATGGACATTTGCGGAGAACAGCTCTTAGTGAACAGGCCTGTCCCACACGTTAAAAGATATTTTAGCGTTCCCTGATCCCTACCCACTAAATACTAACAGCACACTCTCTCCCTGTCACAACCTAAAACTTACCTGCTTCCCCATTCCCAGGGCTACAGTGGCAGGAAGATATTAAGACGTAATAGAGATTTACTCCACGTGATGCAAAACCTATGTTGCAGAGAAGCTCTGCAAAATCCGACTGCAATTTTAAACACACTAATGAGAGCTCTATTTAAAGAGCTACCCAATAGGCAGTTTTGTTGATGCTGTTGTTTTCTTACGCTTCACAATGTGTCTGCATCTGAAGACCTAATTTACTATGTGATAAGTTTGGCTTTTTCATCACTGCCAATCATTTTCTTCAAGCCTACCTCATGGGTCTGACGCAGCCCAAGTTGTACTGAGAACCATTTTGATGCATGCAAACTGTCTGTTATGTGCTCATGTCACCCTTGTGATTACTTGCTAGAAGGGTTAAAATTCAAAAGCTATAATCTCACATGCTTATGATTTTGCAACTGGATTTTACCAAGACATACCATCTATATATTCACAGCAGCAAAGGAATAAAATCTAGTCCCCTAGAAAAATAAACACTCACCTCCGCTTATCATTAAAGAAGTTTGGCTTCTCCGCCTGAACAATGACCACATCAAACAGGTCCCTCCAGTCTTTCCCAACGATATAACTCATCCCTTTGTCCCTAGGGCAACAAGTCAGCCAGGTTAGTCTAACATTGAAGGATTAACTATGTTTGTAACTTTTTCTTTCCAATTTCCAACTGCTAAAACAAATGGGATACAAGGAGTGTGCCAGAAGCTAGCAATGAAACACAGAGCAACTTACACAAAGCTACTGGGGCTATTGGTGATGAGAAACATCTTCTTGCCATGATCAGCCAGTTTGGCCAACACTGCACGGGTCTGCTCAGCATAGCAGATGTACTTTTCTAAGAGCAAGAGAAAAATTCACACACAGATTCAGCATGATTATTGGTCAATCTGCAAGTACTTTCTAAATGGGGGTACGGGTCCAGCACTGTCCTAGGCACAGGAGAGGGAATAAAGGCCTTAAGGAAGAAGCTTTGCCCAGTGGAACATGGGTACATCTGGTGCATCAGTCACAAAGACCCTGCCTCCTCGGTCTAAGTGGAAACAACTAAGTGGCTATAGTTGCCAGCGCCTCTCTTTTTAAGTCAGAATTATGTCAAGTTCCAGGACAAAGAGGAGATGGCTAACATGCCAGGATGCCAGGTCCTTACAGAGCACTCATGCAGCCCCTGCTTAGCACCTGGAATGCAAAGTAAAATGCCGGCATGGTTGCACAAATAACGGAAGGCTGAAACTCTCTTTGCGATACTGCTGAGCACATACCAATGTCTGCTTCAATTGCTCTGTACATTATTCCTTTGATGTGGACGTCTCGAATTGAATCCTGCCAAAAGATACATTTTTAATCAGCGAAAATACAACTGAGATAGCCTGAGTAACAGTACATGTGAAATGGCAGTCATGGTAACTTCTATCCCTAGAAAGTCCGACAATCCAGGCACTACACAAAATTTAAATTCTGGTCCATTTTCTCTATTTTTTTTTTTGAGACAGAGTCTTGTTATATCACCCAGGCTGAAGTGCAGTGGTGCTGTCTCAGCTCAATGCAGCCTCTGCCTCCTGGGTTCAAGTGATTTTCCTGCCTCAGCCTCCAGAGTAGTTGGGATTACAGGTGCCCGCCAGCACACCAGGCTAATTTTTGTGTTTTTAATAGAGACGGAGTTTCACCATTTTGGTCAGGCTGGTCTCGAACTCCTGGCCTCAAGTAATCCGGCTGCCTTAGCTGCCCAAAGTGCTGGGATTGCAGGTGTGAGCCACCACACAAGGCCAATTCTGGTCCATTTTCATAGGCAGCCCCTTGTGAAAGCAAAAGTTTCCATGGTGATGGTGGCAATTTCCAGTGCAACTTCAAAAGAGTGTTTGGAAGAGGTAATTTCTGTGAATAATTCCGAATAAAGTCCCACAGGACACACGGTAATTTATATGCAGTATTGTGAACAAATGATCCCAGGCCATCTGGACAAAGGGAGTTATTGCTCTTTTATCTTTGTGCCCTTTCCGTCCCTAGACCCCAATGGCAAATTCTGTAACACGGAATGAGAGGCAGAGACAAACAGCTAACAGGTTTCTCCTTCTCTCTTTGGTGCCACCAGTAGGGCAACAAACTGGCAGTGAGACTGTAGCTCAGGTAGAGATATGGTCCAGGGAGAGGAAGAGGAGGTGGTTAAACCCTCTGTGGGTTCAGGAGTGTGGCAGCATGAGAGCTGGCAAGTGTCAAAAAAGGGTCCCCCTGGCAGGTGACACTGCACAGGGCCTCTACGTGGTGACATTCCTAGAGGCCTATGGACACTTTCTAGAGCCAGTAGTAGGAGACAGGGCTGCAGGCAAAATTGTGTCTAAGCCTTAGACTGTTGCTGGGAGATTTCTGTTAAGAGGGAGCACTTCTGGACTACAATCTCAACCTCAATTACCTTTCAGCACAAGCCTGATTCAATTTCACACCAGCAGCAGAAGGCAGTAGTTAAATGCAAGTCGGACTGCCTGGCTTAAAATCAAGGCTCTGCTATTTAACAGCTGTGTGACCTTGGGCAAGCAAGTCAACCTCACTGTGCCTCGATGTCCTTATTTGTAAAATGGTACAAATAGTGCCTACCTTGACATTATTATGAAGATTTAGTAAGTTAACATGCCTAAAGCACTCATAAGAACAGTGCCTGAGACCTAGTAAACTCTACACAAGTATTTGTTCTTGGTGGTAGTAACACTTGCAGTAAAAACTGAGCTTTCAAATCAACATCTCGCCTTACGAATGCACAGGGCTGCTACAAGTGATTCTTAGATTTTTAAAGACAAACTGTATATACAAGAGAACAGAAACTAAATACCTAAATTCAATTTGGATAATACCACACTGATATTGAGAAACTATAATTTATCCTCTATCTTCCTAAAACCCAGGATTCATGCTGCCAAAACTTAAATTTACTTATAAATACATAGCAAAAATATTTTAGTGTGTAAATATGTATCTTTAAAAAATATAAATATTTTAAATACATATATTGATAAATATATGTTGTAACTATGTAAATACATATAAAATAATATAAACATGTTTTAGTACTAAAATGTTCATACAGCTTAAAGAACATATATAAATATATAAACATGTGAATATAAAATACATAAATAAATTTATAAATACAAATGATTTGTATAGTAAGTCCTTAACATCTTCAGTAGGTTCTTAGAAACTGCAACTCTGTGAAACAACATAAAGCAAAATCAATTTTTTTCCTTGTCAACATTAACATGACATTGAAGAAACTGGCGTTATTCAAGGATCTGTTGTACATGGTTTCACTTAAAGTCACGGTTGCCAAGAACCTATGGGCAACAGTAAGTATTCACATATGTTCACATAAACATTTACATTTGTCTACATCCCCCGTCCCCTAACTGGATTCTTGCATGGCTTTTGCAGGACTTTAGAAAGCCACATGGAACCTTTGTGGGCAAAGGAAAAAGGCATCCCCTCTGGGCAACTACAGTGGCACAAGTCCCCCAGCTGGGGGCTTGAATGTAACCTGTGTGATGAAGAGGCACCCTGGCCAGGCGTAGTGGCTCAAGCCTGTAATCCCAGTACTTTGGGAGGTTGAGGTGGGCCAATCACTTGAGGTTAGGAGTTGCACACGAGCCTGGCCAACATGGTGAAACCTCGTCTCTACTAAAAATACAAAAATTAGCCGGGCGTGGTGGCAGGCGCCTGTAATCCCAGCTACTTGGGAGGCTGAGGCAGGAGAATCACTTGAACCTGGGAGGTAGAGGTTGCAGTGAGCCACGATCGCACCACTGCACTCCAGCCTGAGTGACAGAGCAAGACTCTGTTCAAAAAAAAAAAAGAGGAGGCACCGCCTTGCTTGGGCAGACTCAGGAGTGAGTGGGTACAGGCCGGACTTCCATCCCCATCATCCCTTTGGCCAAGTGCACAGGCTCTGGCCTTGGCCTTCTGGTCAGAAAGGATCAAAAATCGAGATAACAGTGTCAGCACCATCTTGTTTTAACAAAAATTTTGACTGATTTCCAATTCTCCTGATGTAACAACACCTTTCTTATAATGTTCAAGGTTAAACCGCATATAAGAGTTCCCAGCTAAGAGACTATTTAAAACACCTAACCTAGAAAGGAGGTTCAAGGCTCTGTGACTCCCACTGCAAAGCTGAAACAGACTCAGCACCGTGATCTCTCACTGTGGATACAACCTTGACATCTTTGTACAGATGCACAGGCTCATAGTCGATGTTGTTCTTAAGGAAGTATTCATTCACACAGGACAGGAGGGTCATCTCGGGCAGGGAGAAGATGTCCATGAACTGCTTCATCGTGTTTCCATGAGAGCTCTGTAGACAGGGAGGAAGGAGTGCTTTAGAAACAGGGGCAGAGCTATGAAGCACCAGGAACAGCAGGAAGACCTCTCAGCGACTAAACGAGATTCCCATCATCAACACAAAAAAGGAAAGTTCTAATAATAAAATAATAAAATGGGCCAGGCGTGGTGGCTCACGCCTGTAATCCCAGCACTTTGGGAGGCCAAGGCAGGTGGATCACCTGAGGTCAAGAGTTCAAGATCAGCCTGGACAACACCGTGAAACCCCATCTCTACTAAAAAATACAAAAATTAGCCGGGCATGGTGGTGCGTGCCTGTAATCCCAGCTACTCAGGAGGCTGAGGCAGGAGAATCGCTTGAACCCAAGAGGTGGAGGTTGCAGTGCGGAGATGGCACCATTGCACTCCAGCCTGGGCAACAGAGCAAAACCTTGCCTTAAAAAAAAAAAAAAAAAAAAAACAGGTAAAATGTTCCCCTTGTTCCTTATCATTCACAGCAGAGCTGATGTCTCACTCTAAGTATAACTAGGATATCGACAGAAATGCCCTGACTTCTCCCAGAGAGTCTAATCACCCTTCCCCTTCCGATTTTTCCTGTGACCAGTCCCACTTCCGGTTCACACTCTTTCAGGAAGCACAGAGGAAAGTCAGCAAACAAATTATTGCCCATAATGACACAAAAACGCACGTAACTCTCCTGAACTGGAGCACACCCTCACAGCCCATATTTGAGCTTAAAAAAGAGCTTTTCTCTGAATGCTTGCAATTTACACTATAGATTCTCCTCAACTTATGATGGGGTTACATTCTGATAAACCCACTGTAAAAGATGCACTGATACATCTAACCTACCAAACATCATGGCTCAGCCTAGCCTATCTTAAGCATTCTCAGAACATTTATATTAGCCTATAAAGGCTCATTTATATTAGCCTTTATTATACGGTGTTGAGTGTCTCATATAATTTATTGAATACTGTAATTTACATTGATATTACAATGGCTTTGCACCATTGTAAAGTCAAAAAGTTCTAAGTAGAATCATTGTTAAGTCAGGGGCCATCTGTACTAAGTTTAGTAACTGACCGGGCATCTTCCATTTCATTTTGACAAAGCAAGTAAGTGAGTGCATCTAATAAGACAAGAAGCAAAAATTCTGGGTGGAAAGAGAACCACAAAAGTTAGAAAAGCAGAGGTTTCCCTAAAGGTAAACAGGGTGGCTGTGTAGCCATCAGCTCTGGCATTTCACAGCCATTCGCCAGGGGAAGCAGTAGCTGTCACACTGACAGCCCCAATCTGTTCTGGAGTCCACTCCAGAAACTAGGGACATTCCTGGAGATGGGGTGGCAAACGGGGTAGGTATGTGGGAGGTAAAAACAGCCTTCACCAGGTGTGGAGGAAGGGCTTCAGAAAGGAGAATCATGAAAGAATCTGGGGGTGTCCCCTGCAAACACTGGTCTCTCTCAACACACAATCTCAAATTTCATATGAGCAGTAGGTAAGTTCGACAAGGCCATGTTTCAAGAAGGAAAAAGGCGGCTTTAAATGAATAAAGTGCTGCTCGTTACCTTTCCATAAAAGTCGCTCATCTGCTCCAAAGGCACATGGGACCCCTCGTACATTTCAATGACTTCTTCATCCGGGACAACACTGAGGCCTCTGGAAAAACCAGATGGTGCAGTTAAAAAGCTCAACTAGAGAGATCAATGATTTTCACACCCCTGTGCAGTGCTGGGATTTTTCAATTGAGGTGCAAGACACTGTCGTAATGACGAGGCCAAATGTGCCACAAGTAAATGCTACAAATATCAGGTAAGATGCTACTATGTTTACTACTACTACTGTTCTAACAAGAACAGTAACGGGAGGAGGAATAATAGTTAATATTACATGGCACGTACTATAGGCCAGATATGAATTACACCCAGTCATCCATGTAATTCTCAACCGTCCTAGGAGGGAGGCACTATTATTCTTCTCATTTCCAGCTGAGGTAACTGAAGCACAGAAAGGTCATGTACCTGTTCAAGGTCACCAAAGTAGGAAGTGGTGGGTCAAGATTATAACCCAGGCTTTCTGGCTCTATGGCCCAGGCTCTTACACCACTAAGGCACAAGGCTTCCTAATGACTTGCTTTGGGGTGGGCTGGCTTTTGTTTTAATGTATTTAATATATTAGGACAGAGAAAGGTTGTTTTTGTCTCCATCAGACATCCTCCTGCCCTCCAATACTCTAGCCTGGGATAGGTGCTGATTTGGTTTGGCTGTGTCTCCACCTAAATCTCATCTTGAATTGTAGCTCCAATAATTCCCACAGGTTGTGGGAGGGAGTTGGTGGGAGATCACTGAATCACCGGAGCTGTTTCCCCCATACTGTTCTCGTGGTAGTGAGTAAGCCTCACGAGATCTGATGATTTTATTAGGGGTCCCCCCTTTCACTTGGCTCTCATTCTGTCTTGCCTGCCACCATGTAAGGCATGCCTTTCACCTTCTGCCGAGACTGTGAGGCCTCCCCAGCTATGTGGAACTGTGAGTCCACTAAGCCTCTTTTTCTTTATAAATTACCCAGTCTCAGGTATGTCTTTATCAGCAGCGTAAGAACAGACTAATACAAGTGCTGAGAATGGAAATTGCCACACCCAAGGCTCAGTGGACTAAACCCCGTGACATGAGGCAGGAAGCCCTGTGGCACCACCACCTTGGAGAGGCAATGACCCTGAATGCTTTGTGACACTGAAGGCCAGTTTCCTCATCTACCATCTGCCTGCCTCGGGAATCTGCAAATGAATCTACTTCTTCCACATACAAAAAAAAAAAAATGAATTGTGAAGTCAGTGGCCAGGGTTTCACTCCTGCCTCTGCCACCAGTGACTAGAGCAGGTGCCTTCACCTGTTCAGCTGGACTCATCCACTCTCAAGCGTCAGGAGGGGAAACACCTGCTCTTCTACCCCTTCTGTGGAGGAGAAAGTGCTTGAGAAATAGACACCGATGATTACGAAACTACAGACTGAATAGTACAGGAAATGTCACGCTGTGCTACAGCAGGAGTACAAATAATTCAAGAAGAATTTTAGTTACTAACACAACAGGTTGCTTAGCGTACAAAACCACATGGTCCACAGTAAAACCTACGTACGATATCATTTATGTTTTGCTATGTAACATTAACAAAAAGATCACTTCAACCTCTTTCCTCCCATCTCCATCACCCATATTACTTTAAAAAGTTATCTGAGTGGATTCATTAATATTTTGCCTCTGATCTTGATTAATCTGTTACAACTACCAGCCTTTGAAAAAAGTAGAAACACTGGACTCCCTTTATCTTTGCTCCAGAAATAAGGTAAGACTGGCACTAAGCCAGATCGTTCGAGGCAGTGACCTTGGAAATCAGCCCTTGCTGAGCAGCAGCAGTCACGTGTCCACACTGCTAAGGCTCTCACACTGGAGAGAAAATATAAAAAGTGAAGTGATTCGGCCGGGTCAGAGTTACTTCTCTGCCCTTTGGAAGCCACTGCTGTCTCTAAGGCACAGGCACGGCCACCCAGGCTGCATCCACAAGAGCCAAACAATCAAATGGCAACTCAGAAGAGGCACTGAAATCTGCCAGCTGAATTCCCCAAGCAGCAGCTGCATCAAACCAAGAGCCAAACACAGCTGCAGCAGGCATGGGCAGACTGCCCGGCCACATCTGAATGCAGCCTCGACCAGCACTGAAATCGAAGTGGAAGCTCCTTTTCCCCCGCTCAGAGTGAGAAACACGAGGTTAGGAGCACAGATCTGAATGAGTCTGCAAGGGCTTCAAATCCCCACTCCCTTCATCACTAGGGATATTACCTTGACAAGTAATTTATCCCTTTTGGGCCTCAAAGTCTTCATTCTTAAAGCAGGAAACTATAAAAGTGCCTACTTCCTGATGTCACTGAGATCACAGGAGCTACTACATATAGAATAGCTGGTGTATGGTAAGCACTGTAGAGAGGTTTCACTAGTGTGGCTGTGAAGGGAACCACCCCAGCTTTTCACAAGGTTCCTAGTAAAAACTTAAAATGTAGGTACAAAAATGGGGCTGTGGTGGGGGACCCCTCTCCACCTTCCCAGTCGGCAGCACTCACTGCTATGGGCCAAACATCATAAAATTCACCCCGGTGTAGGGACTGGAGACCTGCATCAGCGCTTAGAGACAAACTAGGCTGAGATGGACACTTTCTTCCCACCTTCTCTCATTCATGGCCCCTTCTGGAGTGAAAGAGAAGAAAGTGACATTTCTGCAGGCTCCAGTTCTTAAACCACTAAGGTACAAAGCTTCCTAATGACTTGCTTTGGGGTGGGCTGGCTTTTTCTTTTTCTTTTTTTTTTTTTTTTTTAACATATTTAACACATTGGGAGACAAAAAGGCTGTTTTTGTCTCCATCAGACATCCTCCTGCCCTCTAATACTCTTCCCTGAGACAGGTGCTAAGAGTGGAAATGGCCACACACAAGGCTCAGTGACATAAGGCAGGAAGCCCAGTGGCACCACCCTATATTTTGGGCCCTGTGCAGATATGCTTCATCTTCACAAGCTGCCCCTTAGGCAGGGACTGGAATCATGCCTGCTTTACACGAGGAAACCAAGGCTTTCAGAGGGTCCAGAGATTGCTCAAGACCATACACACATGAGCCGTGGAGCTGGGGTTTGCACCCAGGAAGTGTGAGTGACTCGAGTCCACACACTCCCTCCAGAGGCCAGCTCACCTCAACACCCCTCTCAGCAGCGAAGCAACAGTGAACTTCCTACAGCCTCATTCTGAACGCTCCTTCCCCCGAATGCCTCAGTGGCTCTTTCTACTGTCCACACTCCTTGACACAATGGACAGTGTATATACAAGAAACAAGGCAATTCTTCTCCTGTGAATCCCACGAGAAGAGAGGGGAGAAAGGGCATTTCAGGCTGAGAGGGTGAGCAGAGGACTCACCACAAGTTGGCCATGGAGGGTGGGTAGGATTTCAAGAAGCAGAGAGGAAGGAAAACTGCACCCTGGCTGAACTCCAGCAGAAGCAAGTGCCAGGTGACAAGAAAGAAGACGTCAAGGGAAAAGAATCCCTGTGCTGTCTTCACCAGCCCGGGCATCCTCTCTTCATAGTAATGGTTCAAGACCAAACACATGACCCAAGTCATTCTGATGAGATTCAGTCCTGAGACTCCGGCGGAATGTGGAGAAACAAAGCTCCTCTGTTCCTCTTGACCTGGAGCTGGGGGGGATGTGGGCCTGGAGTCCCAGGGGTCACTAAGGAGGGGCTTGCCTGAGAGTGAGCCAAGTCAGAGAGCAAGGCCAAGAGATGGAAAGAGTTCTGAAAATAGTAATTTGGCCCCTAGAGCCAGCCACACTTGCAAACTCACTCTGTCTGTGGACTGTACAATAAGTTTCTGAGCCAGTTTGAGTTTCAGTCACTTGCAACCAAGAGTCTTGACCAACATAGTAAGTTAAGGAGCTGTGTATGGAAGAAGAGGAAGCGAAGGGTTTAAAGCAGGTTGATAAAAATCTCAAACCTAAGCCTAAGCATATGGCTTAGCCTTTATTCTGCAGAGAGCAGGGAGCCATCCAGGGATTCAGAGGAGGGGATTATCGGGAGTAATGATTTAGGGAATCAGTCTGGCAAGAATGTCCAGGATGGAGTGCACTGCAGCAAACCCCAAGATCCCAGGAGAGAAGGGGTAAGTGTCTAGGGAGGGGGCCGACAGCAGAAACAAAGATGGAGAGACAGAACAAAGACACCTGGGGAGGATTCTCATGAACACGCATAACCTTGCCTTCTTCGTTCTCGCCCCCACCTTCACCATTGCAATAATAATTCTGGGAAAACATTAGGAGCTATGAGTAAGGGAACAAATGAATGTTCATTTAAGAGGTTTAGAGAAAGAAAAAACTAAAAGTTGGAATATGTTAAATGTAGCAACAACTTTAAAATATACGTTAAAAATCTGTTGGGAATGGTACAATCTGGTGGTCAACTGAGTCATTTCAAAAGCCTTAAAATGAATGAACAACCTTCACCTGGCAATTTCACTTACAAAGATTTTTCCTAAGAAAATGAGACACATGCACAAAAATGTATTAATTATATTTAATATACATGTTACTTACAAAATAAATGAAAAGTTTTTTTTTTTTTTTTTAACTTTTAGGTTCAGGGGTACACGTGCAGGTTTGTCATATAGGTAAATTCATGTCATGGGGGTTTGTTGTAGATATTTCATTACCCAGCTACTAAGCCCTAGTACCCTACCCATCAGTTATTTTTCCTGATCCTCTCCCTCCTCCCACCCTCCATCCTCCAGTAGACCCCAGAGTCTATTGTTCACCTCTGTGTGTTCATGAGTTCTCATCATTTAGCTTCCACTTGTGAGAACACACAGTATTTGGCTTCCTGTTCCTGGATTAGTTTGCTAAGGATAATGGCCTCCAGCTCCATCCATGTTCCCGCAAAAGATGTGATCTTGTTGGAAAGATTATTTGTAATTGTCCATACTAAAATAGATTCATTACCCCCCAAAAAAATGTGTTGAGGGACTCCAACTATCCCTTATACCTTCAAAAAGGCCACACAGCATGGTGGCCAAGAGCACAGACTCTGGTCCCAGGCTGCCTGGGTCTGAATTCTAGCCCAGGCAATTATTTGCTGTGTGACCTTGGGGCAAGTTACTTAACACCTCTGGCACTAATAATAGTACCTACTTCATATAGTTATTTTGAGGATTAAATGAGTTAACTCAAACAAAACCCTTATAACAGTGCCTGTCCCATAGTAAGATTCAATATTTGCTAGTCACTGTTAGTAATATTATTACCATCATCACCACCACTTCCTCTCCATCCTGAAACACCATTAAAGTGAGAGTAAAAACAGTCAAAGGAAATGAGAGTAGAGACGTCAATAGACAAGACATTTCCACAAGACACTGGAAGACAAACAGTGGATGCAAAGAAGGTATCTGACTTAACACTGACAACAGAGGCCTGCAAGGGTACACCCAGGACAAGAACTGATTCCCTACCACAAGCTACAGAAAGGCTCAGCACAAGGAGGCACCAGGAAGCTACTGGAGGATACACTCCAGCAAAATGAGGGAGGAAAGCCAGAGAGAGGAAGAGAAGGGAACTCGAAACAGGGAAAGCAGTGAAGGGAAGTCCCAAGACAAGCAACCAAACCAGATCAGACCAGGAGGGGAGAGTCAATTTTTAAAAACAAAAGTGACAGATTATTGAAAACATTTGAATTATTGGAAAATAAATACATGCCTGACATTTGTAATGGACCATTTGGAAAAAATCAGAGATTCCTACACAGAAAACTAGGCCAACAAAAACTGAGATTATTATTAAAATCTAAGAAAAACAAAACGTCGTACAAGAAAGAAAATAATCGCACTGCACTACCTGGCTTAAGAGTAAACCAGCTGGGCACGGTGGCTCACAGTTGTAATCCCAGCACTTTGGGAGGCTGAGGCGGGCAGATCACCTGAAATCAGGAGTTCAAGACCAGCCTGGCCAACATGGTGAAGCTCCATCTCTACTAAAAATACAAAACTAGCCGGGCATGGTGGCACATGCCTGTAATCCCAGCTCTTTGGGAGGGTAAGGTAGGAGAATCACTTGAACCTGGGAGGCAGAGATTTCAGTGAGCTGAGATCTCGCCACTGCACTGCAGCCTGGGTGACAAGAGGGAGACTCCGTCTCAATAACAACAACAATAAAAAGTGAACCAGATAAGACCTTCTAAGTCATAATGTAAACAGTGACCAGTACAACCACCAAAAACTGAGATCTGAATGAGATGAGAGGAATGAGACTGGAGAAGTGGGAGGAGGTGCCAGAAAGCTAAGTCCTTATCTATCACAGCAGGGACAATGTCCGGAATTAATAAATTAGGAAATAGAAGAATGAGCACGTTACTTAAAAAATCTAAAGACTTTAAAGGTTTTAGGGGCAGCGGGGAGCACAGAAGATTGCTGCTGACCCCCGTGACACCTTTAATCCTGTTTCACTGTGTGACTCTATCCATGTTTCACTTTGATTTTAAAAGCAAATAAGCATTAATTTTAACAGTTTGTGAGAGAAGAACGTAAGCTAAGATGTGCATACTTTTAAGTATAAGCTGTACAATACAAATCACACTCCTAAATCCCCTTCCAAATTAGAGAATTAAAAAAGGCAAAATCCTCCGTTTTAAAAATTATAAAGATGGCCAGGTGTGGTGGCTCACGCCTATAATCCCAGCACTTTGGGAGGCTGAGGCAGGCAGATCACTTGGGGTCAGGAGTTCGAGACCAGCCTGGCTAATATGGTGAAACCCTGTCTCTATTAAAAATATAAAAATTAGCCAGGCATGGTGACACGTGCCTATGGTCCCAGCTAATCGGGAGGTTGGGGCAGGAGAATTGCTTGAACCTGGGAGGCAGAGGCTGCAGTGAGCCTAGATTGTTTCACTGCGCTACAGCCTGGGCATCGCAGCAAGACTCCATCTCATTAAAAAAAAAAAAAAGTTACAAAGATTTCCAGCTATGAATAGACCAAAAAAAAAAAAAAGTCTCAATATCCAAACCACCCAAATACCATGGTGGGAAGGAGAACCGTGTTCCCTCACCCCCATAGCCCTCTTGCTCCAAGCCTCCTCATCAGGACCTCCCTCAGCTTGCCAGCCAGCAGCCCTGGAAAACCATTCCTCCCTCCAGTCCTCCCGAATGCTCCCTATCTCTGAGCACATTCTTTTTTTTTTTTTTTTTTGACACGGAGTCTCGCTCTGTCGCCCAGGCTGGAGTGCAGTGGTGCGATCTCAGCTCACTGCAGCTCCACCTCCCGGGTTCACACCATTCTCCTGCCTCAGTCTCCCCCAGCAGCTGGGACTACAAGCGGCCACCACCATGCCTGGCTAATTTTTTGTATTTTTAATAGAGATAGGGTTTCACCGTGTTAGCCAGGATGGTCTTGATCTCCTGACCTCATGATCCACCCGCCTCGGCCTCCCAAAGTGCTGGGGTTACAGGCATGAGCCACTGTGCCTGGCCACCTCTGAGCACATTTCCATCATCACCTCTGTCACTCCGAACTGCAGTCAAGTTTACTTACATGACTTCCCAACCACACTCTGAGCTCCTTGAGGACATCAGTGCAAACCAAGCCCTTAGCACCTATCTTGGTAGCAAGGCCTCAACAAATGCTCTTGAATAAGTGAGTGAATGGATGAATCATATCCACACTGCAGCCCTCCTCATCACTAAACAGTCAGAGGGTCCTGAAACCCAAAGCACCTGGTTACTTCACGTAAATTAAATGTATCTCCTCTTACTCTTACCTGTAGACAGTTCCCAGCTGGATATAATGAAAAGCATCGATCTTCATTAATACTGCCTTTAAAAACATAAACATATGCACATGTAAATAATGTATAACCATTTGCATATTACATGAGCCTTCCAGGTGTCGTCATAAATCCTATCAACATTAGGCTGCCCTAACAAGGAAGCACACTGTACGTTCCTGAAAGGGTTGCTTGTTAATTAATGTGCTATACAGCTCTTTAAAGAAATGGCCTATCTGCAAAAGACAGGGGAAAAAAATAGATATGGCAAGTGGTTCTTCCTCAAAACACCAAAATGACTACTAGAAATAAACAGTACCTCCTAAATAGCTAAATGCATTTATGCTTTTCTAATACATAGTTTCTTCCAGAAGATTCTATCCAAAGATATGTGAATAATTTGGTTCTGCAGTCCCAAATAACATAATTTAAAACTAATTTGCCCATTCAGTAAAGTACCAAGAGTACATTTCATTTCCAAACATCATTAAACCACAGAAAAACAGGAGAAGTAAACCTACCCGCTGCACATCATAATGAAGTCCACGAATTGCAAAATTTGGGTCGTACTCATACTTCCTGATTTCTGCTGGATACTAAGAAAGAAGAAAGGAACTGGTTTTAGCCAACAATGTGCTAAGTGCAGGATCCTGTCCAGATCTGGCCCTTGTACAAAGGCTGAGGTAGTTGATACACCAGTAGGAAGTTGGAGTCAGAACAGGCAGACCACAGCTTGTCCCTCCGCTTCCAGTCCAAGCGCCTCCCAGCAAGCACCCCGGCCAGAGCCTTCCATCCTGCCCTGCACCCTGTCTATCTGCCCAAGCACAGGCTGGGCCTCGTTTCCTCCCCTGCCAACTTCTCTCAACTCTCTCCTCTCTTTCCCTCCCCTACCTGTGTTCCTAGACTCCCAGATCCCTAAGACCCCAGCAACACATCGGCTTCAACCTCCACCCATCACTCCCAGCTTTTATCTTCAAGGCTGCTGTGGAGAGGCTGGAAAGTGCCTTCTAATACTGGAAGCACAACTTTGCTCAAACTCATTGTCAGCCATCCATTCAACTCATATATGAGCACCTTGATGTGGCAGGCCCCTGGACGGCCCCATTACCAGGTTTCATGGAGAGCCCTAAGGTGAAAACTTCTGAGAGTGGGGCCTCTCCACAGAGCTTTCATTGCTTTTCTCATCTGGACAGCTGGGCAACCCCATGGCTGTCAGACACAGCATTCCCGACACCAGGCCTAGGGAGGCCCTTCCTTGGCACATGGATTACAGTTACTATCCAGCACTCTGTCTCAGAACAGTTGTGAAGGCAGCAGATACGGTTTGGCTCTATGTTCCCAGCCAAGTCTCATCTTGAATTGCAGTTCCCATAATCCCCATGTATTGTGGGAGGGACCTGGCAGAAGACAATTGACTCACAGGGGCGGTTTCCCCATACTCACAAGAGCTGACTGTTTTATACGGGGAAACCAGGGGAAACCCCTTCACTTGGTTATCATTCTCTCTCTTGCCTGTGCCAATGTAAGATGTGCCTTTTGCCTTCCGTCATGGTTGTGAGGCCTCCCCGGCCACATAGAACTGTGAGTCCATTAAACCTTCTCTTATTTATAAATTACCCAGCCTTGGGTAAGTCTTTATCAGCAGCGTGAAAACAAACTAATACAGCAGCCCAGCTCCCTTGGTATTTCCTATTCTCAAGCCATTCCTCACACTACACAGAATTGCTGGCTCCTCCTTATCTACTGCACCAGGTATCCAAGTCCTTACTTCTCTCCCTAAATCTCAGAATTAGGACACCAGCTACCTTGTGGATGTCACTGATCTGTGGGCACCATTTCTGCTGCTACAACATGGCAGGCCCCACCATCCCCATTTTATTCAGAGGGACATCAGAGGTTCTGAATGAAACAAGCTAGTGTATGGTGGGCAGAGAATCAGGCTAGGCTGGGGCCTTCTCCCCTGCTCTCTTCACTGCCCCTCTGCCCTCAGACCACAGGCCTGCGGACAGAACGTCTATTCCTGAGTCTAGAGAGGCCACATCACTAGGACCTTCCAATTGTGATGCAAGTTGCTTAAGTTAAAACCCAGACAACTATTAAATGCCCAGGAAACCTCCTTCCATGGCTGAGCTGCTAATATTTCATGGCCAAGGTTCCATTTGTACAAGAACATTTCCTGGGACCAGCAGGCTGACCCGCATGTGGCGATTTTTCAAGTCAGGCTGCATGAAGCACTTAACTCAAATGTCACATTTGGGATCATTTATCCACCACCAGCCATGTGTGCCAAGAAATCACCAAACTGACATTTCCATCATGGGCGTTTCCAAGAATTGAGAACCCTGTGTATGGTCCTGCATTTTTGCAGACATACTTGACAAGCTGACACAGAACCCAACGCCTAGCACCGTGGATCTGCTTACTGAAGGGGGGCCAAGGGACTTCAGCAGCTCTGCAATCTCCTGTTAAACTTGTGACTGATGGATGAATAAGAGGGCACACAGGAAAGAAATATTTTAATATGTCACTGAGAGAGGTGCCTTCACTGAGCATTTGCTATGTGCCACACACTAGACACTTTCTATGACTTTCTTTATCCCTCACTACACCATCACAAAGGAAGCAGGGCATCTCAAGTCTATTTTACTATTGAATAATCTGAAGATCAGCGGCAAGGAATTTGCCCAAGGTCACACAGCTAGATAGTGGTCGAGCCAGTATTTGAACCCAGGTCTGCGTCACACCCAAGTCCACCCCAACCACCACATAATCAATTGTGAACCAACTCTAAGCCACCATATACTGGACACTCATAGCCTCCCTGTGACAGCAGCACCTCAGAGGGGCTCAACAAGTTTGCTGAAAGCCTTTGCAGTTACGAGTGGAGCAACAACTATTTTAGTTGACTGCTGGCACTTATATTGAGAGTGTTTACTGCTGAAAAGTCTGCTGGTTCTTTCTTTGAATGAGGCTTATCTGGGCTCCCCAGCAGGACATGCCCTCCACACACTCACATTCCCTTTGCCTCTCACTCTCAATGTTATTCTTGGGGAGCCACCTCTGAGAAATACACAATGTTTATTTGGTCCAAAGACGATAGTGAGTGACTATATGAGTCCATTCTCACGTTGCTAATAAACACATACCTGAGACTGGGTAATTTATAAAGCGAAGAGGTTTAATGGACTGACAGTTCCACATGGCTGGGGAGACCTCACAATCATGGAGGAAAGTCACATCTTACATGGCAGCAGGCAAGAGAGCTTGTGCAGGAGAACTCGCCTTTATAAAACCATTAGATTTCTTGAGACTTACTCACTATCGCGGAAAAACCCACCCCCATGATTCAATTACCTCCCACTAGGCCCCTCCCATGACACGTGGGGATTATGGGAACTACAATTCAAGATGAGATTTGGGTGGAGACACAGACAAACCCTATCAATGACCTTGAAAACTGTCAGATGCAGCTGGAAAAGCCGCAACAGGACAATGTCATAATGAAGAATATAGGTTCCGAGGCTGAGAGACCAGGCGTCAAATCCTGGTCCCGCCATGTGCAAGCTGGGTGACTCTGGGCAAGGTCGTCTGTCCCTCTGGTTTTCTCATCTACAAAGTAAAGATAACAAGAATCCCATCCTTTTTGGAAGTGCAAAGGATTCAGACCAAAAATGTGTGTGGCAAGTCAGGGCAGTGCCTGGCACATGGCAAGTGCTCAATAAAATGGAGCGGCTTTGCTGGATTGGGAACTGGCAGCCTGGGGTTTTAGGTCCACCCTACAAGGCCCTGTTACTCTCCTGTATGACTTTAGGTAAGTCTTCTCCAAGGCCTCTTCTAGTCGAACCATTTTGACTAGGGTCTATGCTCTACTCCTGCCCCAAAATTGTAATCTCCCCATACAACCAGCCTGGTCAAAAACATCCTCATGATTGGCCCATTTCCAACATACACACACATAGCATCAGTAGAACATCTGTTAACAGCGACATCCAGCCCAGGAACCAAAGCCGCTCACATTGGCCAGTTGGTTACACTCCTCTCCAATGGTCTCAGCTGGATTTTCAGGACTTTTCATAGTTTAGAAACTTTTCACCACCCAAGGGGGAAAAAGATAAAAAGACTCACCCAAGGTGAGGTATTATAGAGATAACTGGCATCTTTAAAAGGAGTAAGAAATACAAAAGACAAAAGCCTTGATTTCATCTCCCAGCTTCACACCTTAGTCAGCATTTTTTCTCATTAGTTGGCACCACTGATCACCTCGTTGTTCATATCCAAAGCATCGGCTGTGACCCCTCGCACTCCGTGTCCATGTCTGATCTCTCAGCAAATGCTATGCTCTCTTTTTCCCTTAAATAAACTTTTAGGATAGTTTTAGGCTTATGGAAAGGTTGCAAATACTGTGTTTCTGTATGTATACACCCAATGCCCTGTTTCCTCCAACAAAAGATTAAAAGCCTTTTGACTTGGAGTTTTTATTAAAATTCTAATTTAGGCCCAGTCTGGCTTCCTTTAGTACCTTGACTTTGTTCTAATCCCAGTTACCATCTGGGCAAATTCCTGTGTGCTGATAAAGGGCGAAGTGTCCCCCTGAAAATGCTACAGGAACGTCCCTACAGCTTCAAGCAAAGTTAATACCAAAATGCAGCAGAGAACCCAGGACTTCTCCATGTGTGCCTAATTCCTACAGTCCTGGGTAATTACAGCTCTCAGATACAGCTAAAACCTCTACATTACAACACTGCTCTGGGTTCCTGAGGTCCAGAGACCTATAAACGTATCTGTCTTCCAGAGGTCTCAGTTTAATATTTAAAGTAGCCTAAATTACGAATCTAATTAGAGGCAATGCAGAAGGGCACAAAAACTAAGCTCTCTAAAATCTACACAAAACACGATGCTAGAGTAAAATGACCTCATCAGAATGCTGGCCCCACATGAAGCACAACTCTCTCACTTTCCCGCGGAACTCATGGATGCAGATGTCAAGTGTTTAGTGAGTACCTATTTTGTGCCAGGGCCTGGGAATACAGCACTGAACAAAACTGACACAGGTGTCTGCCCCTGCAAAGCTCCCATTCTACCTGGGGAGGCAGACCATACACGAATACACACACAGAATATAACACCTCAGAGTGTATGTTCTAAAAGAAAATGCAATACAAGTATTCACAGATCAGAGATCGGGGGCGGGGAAGAAAAGCAAGCCAGGAGCAAGCCTCATCTGGGAGAAGAAAGAGTGCTCCAAGGCAGAAGTAGGAGAGGGTTTGGAGGTTCAAGGAGTAGGAGGGGAGGAGGGGAGGCAGCTGGAGGAGGCTGGGGAGGCTCTCACTATGATGAGATGAAAACCACACTTCACCTCTGTGGTCTTCCTCCCCCAAACCCATAACCCAGGCTAATCATAAGGAAAATGCACACAGCACCTAATTGGCACGCTTCAAAACTGTCAAGGTCATTTAGAAAAGCAAGGAAAGTCGGAGAAGCTGTCAAAGCCAAGAGGCGCCTGAGAGACATGACAACTAACTGTAATGTGGTGTACTGGAGGGGATCCTGGAGCAGGAAATGGACATTTGGTAAAAACTAAAAATAACTGAAGGAAGTATGGACTTTAATGAATAATAATGTATCAAGACTGGTTCTTTAGGTGTAACAAATGTACCTTGGTCAAGTGTTAACAATGGAGGAAACGGGGCATTGGGTGTATACACACAGGAACTCCGTATTTGCAACCTTTCCATAAGCCTAAAACTATCCTAAAAGTTTATTTAAAGGAAAAAGAGAGCATAGCATTTGCTGAGAGATCAGACATGGACGCAGAGTGCGAGGGGTCAAGCCGATGCTTTGGATATGAACAATGAGGTGATCAATGGTGCCAACTAATGAGAAAAAATGCTGACTAAGGTGTGAAGCTGGGAGATGAAATTAAGAGCTCTTCTACCCCTCCCTTTCTATTCCTTGGTGGACAAATAAAATCAAAATACAGAAAGTTATTACTTGATTTTTTTAAAAATTTCCATGTTTGTAAAAATCTCTTATTTTTAAAAAGGGTAATTACGAAGGAGCTGGAACCTTTTATGTTTGCTTTTTGGAAAGATGCTAAATTGCAAATTTACTGTTCTATGACTGTGTGTCTCAAAAGCATATGTCTTTCCATCTCTACAACTACACAAAGTGCATCGGTCTTGGCTGCAAAAATGGCCCTGAACTCAGTGCATCTTCGAAGAATTATTTTGTTTAATCAGAAGAAGAGAAAAATTTGCGTGAGCATAATTGACTCTACTAATATGCCTGATACAATTAATATTATAACTTTTTAGTTTTATCAAAGCAACACACAGATATAATGAGAATGAAATTTCAATGATCTTAAATCTAGAGGCTTTTCAAATAATAGTGATTGCAGCTTTTATTTTATCCATCTATTTCATCTCTCTTCCCCTCAAATTTCATAAATTTTTATTTTCATGAATATTTTATTTGCATCTGAACCAAAAAAACCATAGGATGGAAAGGTGTTAGTAACCCCATAAGAGAGGCAAGGGGAGTCGAGGAGAGAATAGAGTCCTTTGGAAACAGACAGACCGGAGTTCAAATCCTGGTTCTGTCTCCTGGCCTGTGGCCTTGATCTAGTAGCTTAATTTTTTGAACCTGTTTCCTCAGCTGTAAACAGAGACAACATGTGTGAGCAGGGTTGTTGTGCAGATTAGAAATAATAGTATTTGTATTAATAAATAGCTAACATTTATTGAGTGTTTTCTATGTGCCATCTACTTTACATTTATTAATTCATTTACCACAGTGACTATGAGGAAAGCACTGTTACTATGCCCATTTTACAGGGGAGAAAACTGAGGTCCAGAGAAACTGAGTGAGTCAATCAAGATTATGTAGGAAATAAGTGATGAAGCCCAGAATTTGAACCCCAGCAGTGAGGCCTTAGAACCTGTGCTTTCAGCACCTACTGGACAATCAATGAACACTGCCACTGGGATCATGGCTTGCTTTTTATAAATGACATCAAAGTCAGAGAAAACACTGCAGCTGACCTGGGACTGAAATGCCAACACCAATGCAACACCCCATTTGGATCCACCTTTTAGGGGGTGGTGAACAGATGGCATGGGATGGCAGGCAGGAACCAAAGTCAGAACCACCTCGTTCTTAGTTGGCTTTCATCTTATGATCCAGGCAAAGGACTGCAGTTTAGATGGAAGAGAGTAGTCCCTTGAACAAACGAGATCTGCCGCTGGATGCCAAGTGGCTAGGTGGTTTCACATCTAGTAAAGTGGCCATAACTAAAGAAAGCCAGCTGCTGGCTTAGTGGCAGAAAGGAAGCTTCTCTGTGGCAAATGCCATGACTACATTTTGGATATGGACAAAATGAGCTGCTTAAATCCACTGATAACCAAAAGCTGAGGGGGATCAGAAAATATGGTGAATCAAATGGTTAGGATCCAAAACTAAGGAGAATTTTGGCTGCATTAATAAAAATATGGCATCCAGAATAAGGGAGGTGATGGTCTCCTTCTATTCCACTCTAGCTGGACCCCACCTGGGGTAACATCTTCAAGTCCTCACATTTAAGAGAAACAAACCAGAGCACACACAAAGGAAGATGACTAGGATGACGAAAAGAAAAGAGGACAAATGAGAACGGTTAAAAGAGCTAAGAACAATCAACTTGGGAAAAGTCTTGGAGGGCATAATGGCTGGTCTATACAACACTAGCTCATTATATGTCTGGTACTCGAACGGTTAAATATAAAATAGTAGTTTACATAATTTGGGGTTAGAAGTTACTCATACCCATCCTCAGCCCTCCTTTGCTGCGAACTCCTTCAATATTTGACTGAAATATCACCTTCTTTGCTTCCCCAATTCCCTCAGGCAGAGAAAGTTGTTCTAACCATCACAGTCAGACACAATCGATGTCTAAGGAGACCTCCACTAGGAGGCTGCATAACTGATCTGCCCACGTGACCGACAACCGCACTGGGCTGTTGGTTCTTTATGGGTAATGCCTGTCTCCTACTCATCTTTATCTTCTCAGCTTGTATTGCAGGGCTTGGCACAAGGAGGCTTAAGAAACATGTGAAGCAATAAATCAAGGAAGAAAAGAGGTCAATGGTGAGAGCTGTATGAAGGCAGAATTGTTCAACCTATGGAAGAACTTCCCAAAAATCAGAACCACCTCCTAGGGCAATGTGCACCTGTCTGAGATGGAGATCTGAGCTGTACTTCCCAGGGGAGGTCTCAAAGGGTATGGCCCACAAGACTTCTGAGGACACTTCTTATCCTGCTTCCTGAAATGTGTACTCAAATCAGACTAGAGAAAAAAATGATAGGGTTGCATATTTTCTTTTTTCCTTCCTCATTAAAAACTCTCAACAATACTACGTATCAGAAGAAAGACATTCAAATATGCTTTGCTCTTAGCAATTCAAATGGGTGTTAAAGGTAAAACATCTCCTAACATTTGAGGAATTCCTCCTAACCAGAATTCAACAGGCAGGCTGCCAATTCATCAAGCTCCAGGAGACACTGTGTCGTTCCGTGACAGACGAGAGTGTAAATATCTACAGCCAAATCTCCATTAATGCACATCTTGGGAAGGTCTTTTGCCAAAAGACATCTAAAGATTTTTTTTAAAAAAACTATCATCTTTCAGGTAAGAGTTATTTGGAAGGCAACAAAATCTACTTATTCATTCAGCAACAATTTATTAAACGACTTCTCTATGGCAGACATGGGGTCATGTCAGCTCAAGGCTGTTCTAAGGGGAAAAGGAGAGGGAAAAGCTGAAATGTCCCTCTGATCTTACCCGGTGTTCATTGATGAGAAGGTCCCGTGCAGCATTAAATATCAGCGTGTGGAGGTGCTTTGAATAAAACACCAAGGTGTAATCATAATCGAAGCCATAGATTTCAATGTCTGACAGGCTCATTTCATTGTTTGAGAAAATGGCATCTGGATTCAACAAGTTGCTCATAATGGAAGGAACCAATTCTGGAAATAAAGAAAAAAATACATTATATTACATAATAAATAAGAGTTAGTATGATTTCTAACGAAAAAAAAAATGAGTAAACTAGACTACAAAAGAGATTCGCTTCACCTTGAAAACATGCTGGTGAAGGAAGCCAGCCACAAAGGACCACATGTTGCATGATCCTATTCATATGAAACGTACAGAAATGACAAATCCATAGGCACAGAAAGGAGATTCATGGTTGCCTAGGACTGCTGACTGCTAATGGGCACAGAATTTCTTTTTGTGGTGATGAAAATGTTCTGAAATTGATGGTGGTGATGGTTTTGGGGCGATTGAGATGAGGTCTCACTCGGTTAACCAGACTGGAGTGTAGTGGCACAATCACAGCTCACTGCAGCCTCAATCTCTAGGGCTCAAGCGATCCTCCCACCTCAGCTTCCTGAGTTGCTGGGACTACAGGCGCAGACCATCACACCCTACTAATTTTTGTACTTTTTGTAGAGACAGAGTCTCCCTGTTTTGCCAAGGCTGGTCTCAAACTCCTGGGCTCAGGAACAACCCATCCACCTCAGCCTCCCAAAGTACTGGGATTACAGGCATGCGCCTCTGTACCTGGCCAACGGTGAGGGTTGAACACTCTTGTGAAAGTACTAAAAACCACTGAATGGGAGACTCTAAAAGGGTAAATTGTATGGTATATAAATTATTTCTCAATAAAAGAACATTTGCTACCAAAAATGAACATTTGCTTCAACATCACAAAAAGGATTTGTTTAAAAAATACATGTTGCAGATTTTGGAAAGTAAAAGTATAGTTAACCAAATCTAAATATCATACGTCATCTCACCACCCAGAAAAAAACTACTGACATTTTATGTATTTGCTGCCAACATTTTTCTATGTATATATTTTGGATAGCTAACCTCACACTATATATACAGGTTTGCATTGAGCTCACTAAATTTAATATTCAATCATGAGCCTATACTTTTTGAAATAAACTATTACATGAGACTTTGACATACATATTGGTGTGCCATAGTTAACCTACTACAGGTTGAGCATCCCTTATCCAAAACGTTTGGGAACAGAACCATTTCGGATATCGGATTTTTTTGTATTTTAGAATATTTGCATTATACCTACCGATCGTGGCTCCCTAATCCAAAAGTCTGAAATTCAAAATGCTCCAATGAGTGTTTCCTTGGAGCATCATGTCAGCATGCAAAAGTTTGAGATTTGGAGCACTGTGGATTTTAGATTTTCAGATCAGGGATGTTCAGCCCGTACTCTAAGTTACACATTTAAGTTTTTTCCTATTTAATAAAAATAACATTGCAATGAACATCTTCACGTGTTAATCTTCGCCTTTCAGATGATTTCCTTCAGATAGGTTTGTAGACATGTGACTACCTTCTACCATCAGGGTCCACTGGATGTTAGGTTTGGGTTTCTTTTTTGAGCAGTTCTAACTGTTTGTAAGGATTGCTACTTCATGGTTTCTATTTTTTTCTTGGAAGCCTTTCAAAAATTCATTCTACCTTACAATTTCCATGAGTCCACTGGACCCTTTTAAAAAATCAAAGATGCAATAGGGGATGTTGGTGATCTTATTTTTCTAATATGCTGAAATACTTTACTATTAGAATTATTTCATCATTATCTCTCAATTATTGCCACCTATGTTTTTTTTGTTTTGTTTTGTTTTGTTTTTGTTTTTTGAGATGGAGTCTCGCTCTGTCACCCAGGCTGGAGTGCAGTGGCCGGATCTCAGCTCACTGCAAGCTCCGCCTCCCGGGTTTATGCCATTCTCCTGCCTCAGCCTCCAAGTAGCTGGGACTACAGGCGCCTGCCACCTCGCCCGGCTAATTTTGTGTATTTTTTTAGTAGAGACGAGGTTTCACCGTGTTAGCCAGGATGGTCTCGATCTCCTGACCTCGTGATCTGCCCGTCTCGGCCTCCCAAAGTCCTGGGATTACAGACTTGAGCTACCGTGCCCGGCCGCCACCTGTGATTTTTTAAAAGACTAAAATAAGAAAGCAGGAGAATAAGAAATCACTTAAGATAGTGCAATAGTGAAACAAGTCATCACTATGACATCATCCTTCAGTTCTCATGGCATTGCGCAAAGAACTGCATCACCTTCAAGAAGGTATAAAAGAAGTCTGAAAACACCATCTTTGCAGTCTTTTTTTTTTTTTTTTTTTGCTCTCATGGAACACTGTTGAGAAATCAGTTTTTCATTTTCCATCCGTAACAGCAAAAAGAAAGCTGACAGGAGAAGACATCCCGCAGTTATCAGATGTGCCAGGAGGTGAATGCAGAGAGAGACAGCAGTTCTCTACGGCCTAATGATGACAGGGAAACCAACCATAAGGGTGACGTCTCAGATCATGAGGCCTCCATGACCATATTCTAGATGAAATTCAGGATCAAAGACTGAGCAATATATTTCAAAAGACAAAAAAAAAAAATGTGATATTCTCATCTGGTTAACCATTTAACAGGATGAACACAATCATCCAATATTTTATGACAAAAACACGGACTATCCTATTTTGCCAAAATTATATATGACAGTGTTTTTTTTCACCTTTTATGATGTTTATGCACCAAAATTTTCTTGAAATAGCTCACAGGCAGACAAATGCTGAAGGCAGGTGATTTTTTGCAGATAGGTACATGTACATAAAACCTGAACTGTCCATATTTTACTACTTCTCACATTACTAAGGACAACCACCTGACTCTATTATAACAGCTAATATTTATTAAGCACTTACCATTTACTACATGGTATCAAGAAGACTTTACATTCTCTCATTTAATCCTTCCCACAACCTTAGGAAGCAAATACTACTTTATCCCCATTTCACAAACAAAGACACTAGAGATGCATGGAAATTACTTTATTTGCTAAGGATACACCAGCACCACATGGCAGGGTTGGGATTTGAACCTGGGAAGTTTGGCTCCAGAATCTATGTTCTTAACTCCCTTTCAGGTGCATTTTTTCCTAAAATAAAATAAAGTCAATCCATCATTTCTGGGCTTTCCCTTTCCTTTCTGCTCACTTCTTTCTGACTATGAATGGCACGTAGTATCCACATTCACTCTAAAGAGCCACCTGAAACGTTCAAGAAGCATTCCGCTTGCATAGTAACAGCTCTAATCAGGGCACTGAGGCCCCAGTCAGGGACCAACCCAGCCACAGTGATGTATTCTGAGCATTTCACAAGGCTCCTTAACAGCTTTGAGATCTGAATCCCTTTCAAAACCTAACAGAAGCCATGGAATCCTCTCCATGCACGTGAAGATTTTGCAGAAAATTTCATGGGGTTCATCCCCTAACCCTATTCATGGTTCCCAATTAAGTTCCCACATTGCACCTAGTTTATTAAAACCAAGCCTTTATATCTCTACACAGAATTTCCAGGTCACTGTGAAGGCACATATACGAATCAATAAATTAATTTCACTCACACTGACAATCTAGATGTGACTGAGCCTATTGAAAACCCGAACAGTCAATTCACTAACAATTCCATTTCTTCATTCGTTTTTCTTTCATCAAAATCAATGAGACAACAACCATGGCTTTTTAAGATGAAGTCTCACTCTGTCACCAGGCTGGAGTACAGTGGTACAATGTCGGTTCACTGCAACCTCCACCTCCCAAGTTCAAGGAATTCTCCTGCCTCTGCCTCCCAAGTAGCTGAGATTACAGGTGTACATCACCACGCCCGGCTAATTTTTGTATTTTTAGTAGAGACAGGGTTTTCACCATGTTGGCCAGGCTGGTCTCAAACTCCTGACCTCAGGGGATCTGCCTGCCTCCACCTCCCAAAGTGTTGGGGTTACGGGCGTGAGCCACCGCACCCGGCCACAAGAACTATGGCTTTCATTTTTCTTTTGCCAATAAGACGTATCTGTTATAGACATTTAAGAAACTTAGAGGCAGGCAGTTCACAAGAACTGGTCCTAGGGAAGAGGAGAAGCTGGCAGACCCAAGCTCTTTGATATCTAATACCGAAGATCTTCTGGCCTTACATAAATCAATGGGCCATTGCTGATGATATTTTCTGAATATGACCGCATGGCATCGTCCATATGATGCAAGTGAAGTGGGATCGCTTACAGAGTGACCAAAAGCTCCACTTTCACAAATGACCTTTCCGAGGGAGGTTCGAACAGCCTGCTTAATTAGAAGTTTATATTTAGAAATGGTGCTGGCAAGAGAGTCTCCCTCCCTTCCTGCTACCTGAGAAGACTACGCGAAGCCCTCAAGAAAAAACTACTATGATAGAAAATCATCCAAAAGCTGCATGGGAATTCCCCTGCGGGAGTGAAAGCCTGAGACACGTACATCACACGACACCATCACCTGAAAGCCTGGATGTTTAAGGTGTCATCCTCGAACACGAGAAGCAGCATCTTAAAGGGATCTTGGCACCCTGTGCAAACTTTAAGAAGTTAAGAACAAACATGAATAATTACAAAGCAAAAGAAAAGAATGCCAACCACTCACAAAAGAGAAACAGTCTGGCTAAACTTTAGACTCTGAAGTATAAACCGAATGCTTCTTGACTAGTCACTTATGTACTTTCTCAAAGGAGAAACCAGAGTGGGTACCAATTTAGAAAGTGAATTCCTTTGTACATAATGGATGATGACAGCAAGGCTATACAATCAGTACAAACAAATGGAGAGACAGTTCTGTTGCTGTGGCCAGAGCTTGAGCAAAACTCAGTTCCAATGCAAGCCACTCTGAGCTGGGAGCTGTGCACCCTCCAGCACACAGTGTGGCAAGCTGGGAGGCCCCTGGCACTTCCAGTTTTCAGCAGCTTCCAGCTTTTCGTCTGCTTATCCCACAGAACACTGGGAAATGTGGTGAACAACCTATAGGAAAAACTGGTAAGCTTTCTGTTTTGGTTCTGGCTTTTTGTGTTTTTTATTGTGGCAAAATATACATTACATAAAGTTTACCATGTTAGCCATTTCTAAGAGTGCAAT